GCAAATCTTTGGACTGTGGGAGGAAACCCAAAGCACCTGGCAGAAATCCGTACAGTCACCCAAGGGTAGAATCAAACCTGGGTCCCTGGCGCTGTGAGGCAGCAGTGCTAATCACTGAGCCACCATGCTGCCCTGAGTTAAAGCTGTCTCTTTGTATCGAAATAGAGATGCTGCCTTATAAATTTTCAATTTGCTTTGGAGCACATCTTTTCATCATGAACACTGACCCCAATCAGTCTCAGACAAGCTGAACTCTACAATGTCCTACTATCTCTGCAATATTTATGACATATTGAATTGTAATTAAATTAGATTATAACAATTGGATTCAGTTGTTTAGTTGTCTGTGTTTATTTTCTCTCTTAGTTCAGTTTTATTTATGGTAATTGTATGTCAGTTATTCTGCATTTTTTTTTGCTTCACCAGTTAAATCTAAGTGTTCCCAGTTCTCTCTAAATGGCAATGCAATCAAGATCTTCACTGAACTGCAGCCCAGACACTACAGGAAATGGTTTACATATTGTGCTCATTTCTATCAAAGTGCTTCATGTGGAATGAATCTCTGGAGAATACTAAACCAAACTCATGCAAAACTCTATTAATGTCACTTCTCATTTATTTCTACCTTTATGACAGATAGATTGAAAATAAAAGTAAAATGTTCCACTGTATTTTAACATGGCAAGTGAACAAATGAATATGTAAATAGGAAAAGGAAGGAAAATATGATTCTGATCCTGAGCTTTGTGGAAGCACCTCCTTCAATATTCTCACATCCTATCCTATCCATCATTGCCTTTTCATACTTGACTGGGTTAAATAAAATGAGAGGCATTGCTGTCTTTTCAGATTTGTTGCAATCATGAACATGAATTTCCTTTTATAAATATCCACTGCAAAGGGCACAGAAAATTAATAAAATGTGAAGTTACTTTCTGACTACTGTCACAGCCCTCCACTAAAGCTTCAGAACAGCACACCAATTGCTATGTGATCTGACATCAGCAGCTTTTTAAGCTTTACCCTTCTAAGGTGGATAAACTGAGAACAGCCTTTATAGTGTGGGACATTTGCAACAGACTGGTGATGGAGTGGAGATTGCTGTAATGTAGCAGTTATGTCCTGGTTATCAACAAATAAAATGAGAATTAACATCACATAAGTTTCATATCTAAAATGAAGGGAAATGAAATGGCAAAAGCTGGCAGTTGGAAGCAACACAGAAAATGCTGGAAACACAGATGGCCAGTTGATACAGTTAAACATTATTGTATCCTTTCTTTTTATGGGCATCGATTAAACTGTTGCTTCATTTCCAGCATTTCCTGGAACACCATTTGTTTCATGTCTAGTCTCTCTTTATACACGCTTTAGAAATGTTGCTTTAAAATAATTATATTAGGGCTGAGATTCTGAGGGAGATTGAGTAATTTTCCAGCAGGAAACAACATTTCTAGCCCTTAAATATAGGTTTGGTAAAATTGTAAACATTCTTATTTAATAATCTCTTATTGATTCTAGTTTTAAGCTGGAAGTGTGATTATATATTTTTCTTGAATTGCAAGAATAAATAGACTTCAAAATCACGCAGGAATTCATTCTTAATGTATTATTGCACAGCTAATGTATAACAGCATAGCATGGTCATTTGTTGGGTCCATTTTATGGGGGCACTAATCTGTATTTGTGAATTTTAAAATACATCATGCAAAGGTTTGACTGAAATATTTATTCCAGTCTCATATAACACATGTTTGAGCCTTAACATTGACATCCACTATTTAGATAAATGTCCAGTCAACAATCTGCCCAAGTTGGTGATGGCCTAATAATATTGTTGCCAGACTATTAATCCAGGATCCTGGTAAAGATCCGGAGATCAGAGTTTGAATCCTGCTACGGTCGATGGTGGAATTTGAATTCAATAAAT